GACACTGTCTCCAAGTAAGTATATTAACCAAAAGTATAAAAGCATACAGCAAAATACCAAATGATTCTGCTTCTTTGAGATTGTGCCATCAACCTCTGTATCAACGTTTTGTACAAAACACAATGTAAAATTCCTCTTGCTATATAGGGCACTGGACTCCTGCTCTCAGAAATCAAGGGGGAAATTACAGGGATGAGGCTGTCCACAATCTCTGTGTGTTATATGAAACAGTGGCTTTTAGACTGTGCCTTGGCCCAGGTGATTCCACTTGAAAAAAGCACATTTGGCTGCATTTTCATGGAGATGCAGAGGTGAAATGAGTTTGAAAGCCATTGTGCATATTGAAACCACCACCTACCTAGCACCAACCATAAGGCACTGCCTGATAAATAACTTATCACTCAAAAGGCACCAGCTATCATAAAGTGGGAACAAGCTGGGCATTGGTGGTGCACGCCTTTAATCCCAGCACTCAGGGGGCAGATGCAGGCAGATCTCTGTGAGGCAGAGGCAGGCAGATCTCTGTGAGTTCGAGGCCAGCCTGGTCTTCAGAGTCAGTGCCAGGATAGGCTCCAAAGCTACACAGAGAAACCCTGTCTGGAAAAACCAAAAAAAAAAGTGGGAACATATGAACATGCAGGTGCATTAAAATCACATCAGAACCCTGGGGATGTAGCTCGCTGGTAGAGTGCTTATCTGGTATGCCAAGGTCCTGAGTTTAATCTGCTGTGTGGTAAAAGAAAAGAAAAACAGAAAAACCAAGCCCAGTGATTTATTGAACACAACAGTCTGATGTGAAGCACACTCTCATCTGAATCCTATAAAAAGGACACATACACTCTGATGGCTCTGCCAATCTGATCTGACCACTGGTTTGATTTGTATTTTAAAGGATTTACAGTTTTCTGCTCAGCTTGGTCACTATTGCTGGTATGGCTCTCAAATTACCATTCATCGCCAGGCATTGGTGGAGCACACCTTTAGTCCCAGCACTAGGGAGGCAGAGGCAGGTGGATCTCTGTGAGTTCAAGGCCAGCCTGGTCTACAGAGTGAGTGCCAGGACAGGCTCCAAAGCAATGCAGAGAAACCCTGTCTCAAAAAACAAACTAACAAAAAACACACAAAAAACCCAAATTACCATTCAGCTGTCCATCTTTCTTGATCCAGTCCTATACCTAGCCTCCACAGCTTGACTCCATCCTGTAGCTCTGACTGAAACCAGAGACCCTCCGGCTTAGCATTATGTATACCTATTAATCTTCTCTGACCACTGGCAGTGAATTCCTTCACAAACATGTCAGTTCTCCGCTGTCTTCAGAGAAGTCACTGTACACTCTGCTGCAACCTCTTTAACCTTTGTGTAGCCATTCAATAACCTATACACACACACACACACACCACACACATACATCATATACACCGCACACACTATACACACCACACACATGCACATACACCACACACACCATACACACACATACACACCACACACACCATACACACACACCATATGCACACATACACACCACACACACCATACACACACATACACACCACATACACCATATACACACATACACACCACACACCATACACACCACACACACTCCATATACACCATACACACCACACACACACACCACACATACACACCACACACACACATACCATACACACACACCAAACACACACAGAGACTCACACTTTTAAAAATGGTTTGTATGCACAGATACTATATCACATCATTCTATTTTGAAATACCTATGCTTGTTTATGCATAGACATGCAAATGTTAGAAAATATAGAGGATTGATAATAAGTAATGGTGGCTGTGGAAAATGGAAACTTTCTCACACTGCTCTTTACATTGTAATGTATACAGCTTGGAACAGGACAAGTCCAACATGTAATAAAGCTGGAAAACCTCTTCATCAATTAGAGCCCAAGCTGGACACAGAGAACCTACTTCAAATGATTGACTGCTATTAAATTGCTAACCACACAGTCAAAGAGAACCTTTAGGATGTCAGGGAGGTAGCAACTGCAGAAAGCAGCTGGACAAGGGCAGTGATGTCAAAGGGGTGAGTGGTACAGAGTTCCCTTTGTAAGTTCGTGGTCTCATCAATAAAAGAATTTAAGAAGACACAGAAAGAACTCAAGAACAACTTATTGAAGTCTTAGGGAAAAAACAGCAAACAAACTGGAGATCTTAGCAGCTGACAGGAAATTGGAAGAGGGAAAGGAGAAAGCTACACTTCTAACAGAGCACAAGGGAGATACGCTGCAGAGAACATATGGAGTGACCAGGGTCACTTATAACATTATCCTAGATTGAAACCCTGTTGAGAAAATCTATTAGAGATCTGTACCCTTCCCTTCTGCAGTGAAAACAAGGTTCCTAAAACAATGGACCCCCAAGAACCCCATGCTGAGTAAAGGGAAAGACTGAAAGGCACTGGCATGCAAACGCCAGAGGAGGAACTTGCCTTTGGGAAAGATTTCCAGTATTTTTTTTGGCGGGGTTGTTTTTGTTTTTTGGGTTTTTTTTTTTTGATTTTTGGTTTTTCGAGACAGGGTTTCTCTGTGTAGCTTTGGAGCCTGTCCTGGCACTCGCTCTAGAGACCAGGCTGGTCTCGAACTCACAGAGATCCACTTGCCTCTGCCTCCCGAGTGCTGGGATTAAAGGTGTGCACCACCAATGCCTGGCGATTTCCAGTAGTTTTGAGAGCTTATTTCAGTTAACACATGCGTATCTTCTGGCTTTTGTTTCATTTCTTCTACAAAACTACAATGATGCCAAAGGAAGGATGGATGGAAACTAGGAGTCTTTCTTGCTATGGGATTTGCTCAAACATTTAATAAATCCATTTCCTTTGCCAATCTCTGTCTTTTTAAATACATGCAAAGCAAGGCAGCAGGTTTAAGGGCCAAACAGCCCAGCAACACTTTGTTCTTTGTAGTTTTTATTGAAGTGGCACAAACATCCTTTCAAGATACCTTCTTCAGCCTTGATGCAGGGTGGAGGAGCTAGGTCCTGCCTCAGTTTGATGTGTCATGCTTTCTTGATTCCCACGAGAGGCCTTACACATCTGAATGGAGACTGAGAAGGAGTGGTTGGGGGGAGGCAGGAAGTGGGGGAGCGAACAAGAGGAGAGGAGGGAGGGGAAAACAAAATTGTTTTCCTTAAAAAAAAGATGGCAGGACTGGAGAGATGGCTCAGTGGTTAAGATCACTGACTGCTCTTCCAGAGGACCTGGGTTCAATTCTCCAGTTCAGTAGGTCTAGCACCCTCACACAGACATACATGCAGGCAAAACACCAATGAACATAAAAATAAATTATTAAGCAGGGCGTTGGTGGCACACGCCTTTAATCCCAGCACTCGGGAGGCAGAGGCAGGTGGATCTCTGTGAGTTCGAGGCCAGCCTGGTCTCCAGAGCGAGTGCCAGGATAGGCTCCAAAGCCACACAGAGAAACCCTCTCTCGAAAAAACAAACAAATAAATAAATAAATAAATAAATAAATAAATAAAGATGGCATAGGCCTTGGGCATGAAGGCAGAGCTCTACCCTTTGGAGCCACCCAAGGAGAAAATGTTTAACCTTAATATCACTCGGGTTAACTTTATAGTCAGCAAAGAGTTGCTTTGGGTGACCTAGAATTCAGGGTATTTCTTTCTAAAATAAGAACAATAACTGCATGTATTTTGTCAGTTTAACATCTAGTTTTGTTAGTTTTGGTCAAAGAAGGAATAAATATCAGTGTCTAATTACATTTTGGTTTCATTAGCTTTGGAACAGCTTAAAGCCCCTGCCTGTCACTGGTTTACCTTTAACCTTGCAATTCATTACAAGCAGCTGATGGATTGCTATCCCTCACTGAAAGGCCACTGCTAATCGATTTTTTTTTTTGTACAAAGCCAGTGCTTGAAAATGAATGACAAACACCTTTGAGATTTTTCTATGATAATCTCTATGAGTTCAAGAACAGACTGGTCTATATCATAAGATCCAGACCAGCCAGGGTTACATAGTGAGACCCTGTCTCAAAAAATGTTTAAAATGCTTTATCTACTGGGCAATTATTGACCATTGACCATGCTATTTTATCAGAGGGAGCTAACATGTTCTTGTGTCTGAAATAGTTCCTGCAAAGTAGATGCAGCAGAGGGCCCTTTCTTTTTCTTTCTTCTTGCCTAGCATCCGTTATTTAAAAGCACAAGGAACATACCACGACTTGGAAGGGAGATAGCTATAGGAAGGTCATGAATTCTAGGCCAGCCTGGGCTATAAAATGAGACCTATCTTTAATTTAAAAAACAATAATTAGGGGCCAGGCAGTGGTGGCGCACGCCTTTAGTTCTAGCACTTGGGAGGCAGAGGCAGGCGGATCTCTGTGAGTTTGAGGCCAGCCAGGTCTACAGACAGCCTCCAAAGCTACAGAGAAACCCTGTCTCAAAAAACAAAAACAGAGTTGAGAGTCTGATGAAACTTCCATCAGGAACTCTGCTGCCCTGTGCAGAAGTGATTCTGGGAAATATTTGAATGAACAGAGAGCTCATGGGAAGGGAAAAGATCAAGTCCCTTTGTCGTTAGCCCAAAGCATACATCTAGTATCTTTTTTCCTTTTTTTCAAGACAGGGTTTCTCTGTGTAGCACTGGCTGTCCTGGACTTTGTAGACCAGGCTGGCATCAAACTCAGAGATCTGCCTGCCTTTGTCTCCTGAGTGCTGGGAATAAAGGAGTGTGCCACCACTGCCTGGCTATATCTAGAAACTTATTAGCCAAGTTCCAACAGAGAGCAGCTGACAGGGCAGAATGTGTTTCAGAGTCACAAAGCACAATCTAGAAGGACAAGCTTCCAGCAAGAACAGAATAACTTAATAACTGGAATAAGACCTATAGTTACCAACAGGGACAGATCTTAGGGAGGTAATGTCACTTGAAAACAAGCCAACTGCTAAGCTTTTACCTACAGTGTGACACCATTTCTGTAAAAGATTAACAAGACAATATAGTATTTATTATACATTGCAGGCTCCATACTACACCAAAACATCTCACAGTAGATTTAAATTCAAAATGTTTATGAATAATCTTCACTTTTGAGTAAGTATACATAAATATTATCACCTTAAAACAGACAATAACTGAAACATAAAACTTTAGCACAAGAAAAGAGTTAACAAAACTGAAAACCTAGCTGAGCACAGTTTGAGAGAAGATGTTTTAACACATGAATGAAGGACTTTATATGCTTACATGTTAAATAATAGCACCACCAACATTTAAACCAGACAGTACAAGATAAAGTTCTCATTAGGAAACAGTGAGCAAAGGATATGAGCAATCAGTGCAGATAAAAAAATTCATACACAATATGTTCAACTTCACCACTAAATGGAAAAATACAAATGAAACAAGTCACAGACTGTTTGCCCACCTGCTGTTGAAGCACTCAGAAGACTATGGCAAAAGTTCAATGCCAGCCTGGGCTACAAAGTGTTCCCCCTCAAAGCCAAGAAATAATGAGCAATTCCCTAAAGGGATCAGACACATTTTTATACTAGTCTAAGTACCGCACAGTGGCAAGTATGCTTTGCAAGTTTTGCTTGATTAGATGCCCCTGTGGGCTTGAACCAGTACAGGGAATGAGGGACTCTTCAGGGAGAAGCTTTCTCCAATGCACAAAGCAAGGATCGGCCCAAGTGAGTTCTCTGGTGCTCTGTGAGGTGGGCTTTACGACAGAAACCCTTTCCACATTCCTGACACTCAAAAGGCCTCTCTCCTGTGTGAATTCGCTGATGCTCAATGAGGCGCACTTTCACACAAAAGGCATTTCCACACTCACTGCATTCATAAGGCTTCTCACCAGTGTGAGTTCTCTTATGTTGACGAAGGGATTTCTTCATGCTAAAGATCTTCCCACAGTCACTACACTCATAGGGTTTCTCTCCTGAATGAATACGCTGATGCTCAATGAGACGAGCTTTCACATAGAAAGCATTTCCACAGTCATTACATTCATAGGGCTTCTCTCCGGTATGGATTCTCTGATGGATTCCCAGAGATGACTGTACCCTAAAGGCCTTCCCACATTCATTACAATGATAGGGCTTTTCACCTGTGTGGGTTCTCTGATGATTATTGAGAGTCATTTTCATTCGGAAGAATTTCCCACAGTCTCCACACTCATAGGGTTTCTCACCTGTGTGAATTCTTTGATGTTGGTTTAGGGATTTCTTCGCTGTAAAGTTTCTCCCACACTCCCCACATTCATAGGGTTTCTCCCCCGTGTGAGTTCTCAGGTGCTGGGTGAGCGATATCTTGACCCGAAATGTCTTCTGACATTCATTGCATTTATAAGGCCTCTCACCAGTGTGGGTTCTCTGGTGGATTGTGAGGGTCGCCTTCTCAGAAAAGGTTTTCCCACATTCAGGACATTCATAGGGCCTCTCTCCTGTGTGTGTTCTGCGATGTAGAATGAGTTGTGACTTCCTGCCAAAAGATTTCCCACATTCATGACATCCAAAGGGCTTCTCTCCCGTGTGAGTTTTCTGATGGGCAATGAGGTATGATCTTGCACTGAATGTCTTTGGACATTCGCCACACTCATAGGGCCTCTCCCCCGTATGTGTTCTCAGGTGTTCAACGAGGTTAGATTTTCTGCAGTACACCTTTCCACACTCATGACATTCAAAGCTTTTATCTCTGGTATGAGTGCTTTTATGCTGAACAAAGTCTGTTTCCTCATGGAAGTCTTCCCCACATTGAATACTCTGATACTGATAAACATTGTTCTCCAGCACGAGGGCATCACCCCCAACTGAACTGTTGCCACATAGCAGAGACAGAGGTCCTTTAAAAGCAACAAGTATGTCACTCATTCATGTAAAATCCCCAAATGCTTCCCTGTCACAATATAAAGTATTTAACACAGTCTTTATAATGCTATCATTTGCAGCTAGACACAGTAATACACACCAGTATTCCCAGTAATTGGGAGACTGAAGCAGAAGGATCATGAGTTTCAGGACAACTTGGGCTGAACAGTGAGACCTGTCTCAGAAAAAAAAAAGAAAAAAAGAAAAAAGAAAAAAGAAATCCACCTACAATTTGACCCCTTACTAATTCACAGACCTCTTCACCAGTCCCCGGATACATTTCTCAGGTAAGAATCAGCGTTCACAGTTCTCTGCCCAGAACACACCAAATCTACATATTGTTGTCTCTCACCTCACTGAAATTTGTACACTAATGTTGTTCTCACAAAAAAAAATAACCTTCCCTGAATATAGTCCCTAAAAGCGCACATCAACAGTGATCTTTCTCCACTTGGATTGCTTTTCTTTGCAACATCCAAAACACTCCATATTTGTTTCTGGATGCTTTCCCTCACTGGATTGAAGACTCCAAGAAAACAGAGACATTATTTATTCACTGCTGGATCCCATTGCCCAGAATGTGACCAGCATATATCCTACAGTATTTGAAGTTTTGGTAGATAACTAAGTGAATATATGAACAGATGGCTGTCATCAGAAGCCAGCAACATCAATGAAGAAATGAAAGAATAAATTTCTAACATGAGGCAGAGATCAGTAAGTGCAGCAGATAACAGAAACATCAAAATCCACAAGTACTGAAATGCAAGTAGAATTCTGGGGTAGGTAATTTAGTTTTCTGCAGCTTGTAAACCTCCCGTCCTAGTTCAAAGAGCCCAAGGCTCTAAAAAGAATCCCCCAAAAATATTATATAAGGATGCCCTTTTAACTAAATTCCTTGGGTATGGCTTCCCATGTGTTCAATGTTTCTGGGTTTTGCCCACTCACCTGAGTAATCATGGTCTGAGGATTCCTCTTCTAATACCCAGAGTTCTTCTCCCCGCTCTAACTTGAAAATCATGTCTGGTTTGGCCACGCAGAGGCCTGTTAATGGGAAATGGCACAGGACATGGGCCAAGAAGTTTGAGCTTTAGAGCATCTGATGGAGGAGGAGGAGGAAGGTGACTCTTCCTGAGCTGCACAAGGAAGGGGTCCATTTAAACCTTACATTTGGGGACATGAGAACACATGTTCTTTCTGGAGCCCTAAACTGCTCACTTAGCTGCAACCCTAACATCTACAACTATCACTAAACTTCAGTGGTGGCAAAAATGGCAGAAACCACATGCCCCCAGGGGTTCCCCGCACACATTCATCCTCACCCACAGATGCCAGGTGACTGTAAGTCTCCAGCATCACATCCTTGTGCATGTTCCTCTGGGTAGAGTCCAGTCTGTACCACTCTTGTTGGGTGAAATCCACAGCTACATCTTCGAAGGACACAGATCCCTGTAATGACAGTCTACAGTGATCAGGGCAGGGCACATGAGGGAGAACACAGAAATACTAATCTTCTCAATGCAGGCCCCTTGGGAGCTAAATGCAAAGAGCCATGCTGGATACTTGGTCCATGTCTTACTTGATACTGTACTTTAGAGAGGAACCCCGAAAAACTCTGTCACCATGTTAATCTACTAATTATTAGACTGACAGTGGCACTCAGTACTTAGGAGGAGATGGGAAGACCAGAACCATCCTTGGTGACATAGCAAGTTTCAGGTCAGCATGGGCCACAGGAAACCTTTCAAAGAAAACAAATCAAAACAAATCAAAACACACACACACACACACACACACACACACACACACACACACATACATACATATATACTAGGACTGTGGCTTGAAGTTGGTCTTACATATCATAGGACTATTATTTTTTTTGTACAAACTTACTTGATACTTGATACATATGTATACATAAATATACATATATATAGTGTGTGTGTATGATATCTGTAAATATGTTTGTATAAAGAAAGACGGTTGGCAAGATTGCTCAGTGAGTAAGGGCCTTTGCTACCAAACCTAATATACTGATTTCATTCCCTCAATTCAACATAGAAGGAGAGAACCAACTCGCACAGGTTGTCCTCTTGACTTCTACACACCCACACACACACAGACATACACACACACTAAAAATTATAGATATATAAAGCTAGCCAGCCACCAAGAATGGTGGCACACTCCTGTAATCCTAGCACTGAAGAGGCAGAGACAAAAGGATTGTGAGTTTGAGGCCAGTATGGATATACATAGTGAGTTCCAGGCCAGCTTGGGCTGTATAGCAAGACCTGGATGCAAAAACAATGAAAAATTAAAAAAGGCTGAGGATGTAGCTTAAGGGTAAGATGTTTTCCTGGAATGTAGAAGGCCCTAGGTTCAATCCCAGAAATGTAATATAAATAATATATGTGTATATATAATATATGAAGAAAGAATATGAGCTTGAGACGGGCCTGAGCTACAGAATTCTAGGCTTACCTGTACTATACAGAGACTCAAAGAAATGTTGGGTATAGTCTCCCACAACTGTAATTCTACCACTTGTAAGATAGAAGCAAAAGGATCAGGAGTTCAAGGCCAGTCTCAACTACATAGAGACCCTATCTCAAAACAGTACTAATACCCTGGGGACTATGGGGTAAGATCACAAGACATGAAGGTTTGAACACACAAGGTAAATGTGCTGAATTACATACAATACAGTATGACAAGAAAATTGTGCTTTGGATCTGGAATGTGGCTTTCCTAAATGTCCAGGCCATTTGCATTTGGCAAATTCAGAGAAAATGCGCCATTATCTATCCTACCTTGGTGAATCCAAACTTTTGTATCTAATTCACTTACTTTTTTGGTTTTTCAAGACAGGGTTTCTCTGTGTATCTTTGGAGCCTGTCCTGGAACTCTCTTTGTATACCAGGCTGGCCTTGAACTCATAGAGATCCACCTGCCTCTGTCTCTGCCTCCTGAGTGCTGGGATGAAAAGCGTGTACCACCACCACCTAACCTAATTCACTTTCTATCATATCTTGTATTACCAGCCCAAAATATATTTTAGACCTTGAAACATTTTCTTAAATAAACAACTTAAGCTTTTATGGCTCTCAACCTTATACACTTTGTATTTCTTTTGTGTGTGTGTTTTTTTCTGAATTTGGTTAACAAGGAAAATTTTAACTATAACTATCTTATCTTCAACCCCATCAGAGACTCAAGAAGGAAATAATATTAACTGAGTAAACAGGAAGTGTAGAGCAAGCAACTTCAAAACTATATAAATGACAGAAGCAGTTAACTGCCTGGACAGTCACCCAAGGTTCCTCTGTAACATTGGGACATCCATCTTCAACCTACAGACCCAGAATATCTGACAGACTGTTCTGTGAAGCAGAAATTTTGAAGGACTATCCTTTCTTGTCTTGGCAAAGTTTGGCAGTTGACTTTTTTGTGTTCTTCTTGTCCAATTCGGACAATATACTATCAGTAGTCAAGGGAAGGGCAGTTTCTTGCCCAATGGCTAACTTTGCCACAATAAAAGTAAACTAGCGCCGAGCATTGGTGGCACACACCTTTAATCCCAGCACTCTGGAGGCAGAGGCAAGCAGATCTCTGTGAGTTCGAAGCCAGCCTGGTCTCCAGAGCGAGTGCCAGGATAGGCTCCAAAGCTACACAGAGAAACCCTGTCTTGAAACACCAAAAAAGTAAAGTAGCAAATTCCATATGAAGTTTCTTTGATGCCCATCTTCCTTTTTTGAAGTAAACTGGTGCTGCCAGAGGCAGATGTGTCTCACTGTCATAAAAAGCCGTATGGTATTAAAACATCTTAAATGCTATACTCTATAGGTCTCTGAAGTTTTTGAAGACCATCTATCTATCTAAAATAAATCTGCTTGACCTTGAAAACATACCTAACATAACTATATAAGTTTGATTGTTATAGATGACTAACCTGTGTTTCTTTATTATCCTAAATAGCTTTCAAAGATTAGAACTTTATATTACATTTTTAAGTGAGTTCTATAGGTACAATATCTTAAACTAGAGTAGAAACATATATACAGTATAACAAAATTAACCTTAAATTTGTATCAACATACAAAAATACCTTAAACAAGAATAAAAACATATAGAGTATGTTCTAACACCCTTAAATTTGTATCAATATACAAAAAACTATACCAATGTAAACTATTTGGGATTATTAGTTGCTTTTTCTAGTTTAAAAGTAGATTCAATAATCTACCCTGTAGCACAAGTTCTAATAGGTCTTAATAGTAAATCTTGGAGTCATATACAGGGTTAAATGCTGAAAGATCAGAGAGATAAAGGAGCAAACCACAGCCATACCTCACTTCACCTTTCCAGCCAAAAGGAGACTGAGCTCCTGTCTCCAACCACTTATATTCCCCTTTCAGCATAACCATCTCACTTCCTGTCTGTCTGTACAAACCTCCAGACTTCTATGGTTAGATAGTGGCTAGCTCCATCCTATGATGTTCAGGCAATCTTTATTTGTTAGAGTACAAACAAGATATCATCACATTACCTTTAATTCTATCATTTCTATATCCCCCTTTTCTTTTCTGAAAGAGATCATTTAATCTAACCTCCCTTGCTTTGTTTACTCCCTTACCATGACCAGTAACAATATGCAACTAACCTCCCTAAATGATGACAAGCATCCATAACCCACCGAATGACCAAAAACTACCTACCAAACTTTTGGGAATGTTGGTATCATGTTCTTAAAATTACTTCCTGTTGCGCTGGAGAGATGGCTCAGAGGTTAAGAGCACTGGCTGCTCTTCCAGAGGACCTAAGTTCAATTCCCAGCAACCACAGGGTGTTTCACAACCATCCGTAATGAGATCTGGTGCCCTCCTCTGGTGCGCAGGCATACATGGAGACAGAATGTTGTATACATAATAAATAAATAAAATCTTTTTTTAAAAAAATTACTTCCTGTTGTCTGGGGATGTTAGCATCCCCAGATGCTAACATCCAAGCCTGTTCCCTAACTTGAATTAATGATAATAATAATAATAATAATAATAATAATAAGAGAAAAAATTACTTCCTGTTGTCTGGGGATGTTAGCATCTTTAGGGGACCCTGAGAAAATCTGGAGATAATTGAGATAATGGTCAAATACTGGGAAATTTGGATGTATCATTTGTTCTCCACTCCCTGTGTAATGGGAAAGTACAGGGCTTGTCTGAAGTCCTGGATAGAGTAGTCTGTGAGCCTGGATCCTCTCAGCTAGCAGCTTTGAAGTTGTCCTAGATACAGAATTATGAGGAAACTCCAACAGAGACATTCTGAGAGGCTGGATCACCTGAGCTACTTATCATTGTTGGTATCTGGTCCCCTTTTTTCCCTAAAAACACAAACTTTTAAAGGTAACAAATGTATCTGCAGTAACATAAGTATGGAATGTGTGGCGTGCATGAATCAGCTAAAGGTGATTTTTTTGTTCTATGTTTGAGCAGGTAAAAGGCATCAGTCAACTTCATAAGCCCCTTTGGGCTGCATAACCAAACTGTAATAAAAATCTCTATCCATACCATTTGAAAGGGTGGTATGTAATAGTAAGTCATGAGGACTCTGTAGCTAACAAGATTTGTCATGCCTCATCCAGTCTTAGAGCTGTTTCCATGCAGAGGGATCAGCCTACATGTCACCTGACCTGTAGTCTTTCCTGGCTTCCTCCCTCATGTCTGTAGCCAAGATCCTCAGGAGGTCTCCCCTGATCTTTATTAATTTTAAGGAAATCCATAGCTTTTTGCAAAACCTCTCCCATAATGCAACATATTTTCTAAGTTCCACTTTAAAATTAAGACATCTCCCAAAATATACAGGCTGGTTTAATTTATCAGCTCTTTTCACAATCCAATGTCTCTTAGTAGCTGTCATTATTTATGAATTAACATTTAAAATATATAAAGTTAACAAAGCATTATATGACCCACATGCCCTGTGTTATGGTATTTCCAAACCTTAAGTGGATATATATTTACTTTTTTATTTTTAAACTATTTTGGGGGGGGTTTCAAGACAGGGTTTCTCTGTGTCTTTGGAGGCTATCCTGGAACTAGCTCTTGTAGACCAGGCTGGTCTCGAACTCACAGAGACCCATCTGCCTCTGCCTCCAGAGTGCTGGGATTAAAGGCATGCGCCACCATTGCCTGTCTTTTTAAACTATTTTTATGACTGTTTATACCCATTTTTTACTTCTTCAGCACCTTAGCACCTTTTCAAGCATACTGTAACTTTTTAGATGATTTTGGTGTCTGGACCTGTCTTTACTAAGAACCTGAATATTCTCTGACCACACCAAACACATGTTAAACTGTTAGGTGGCAGCTAGGTGCTCTGTTGTGTGCCTCTGGTGGTTGGTTGGCTTCATCCTTCTCAGTTCCCCTAAGAGCCTATGCCTGCCTTATGCCAGCAGGTACCGACAGAAGTCATGTTTACCACCGAAGCTATAGGAAGTTGTTGATCCCACTTTCCTGAGTCCCCATGAGTGGCAAGCGACTGTTGTGAGTGCTCATAGAGAGGCCCAGGTGGCAGCTGCAGTGGCACCTGCTGGTGTGACCTCTCTGCCTGTGTGGTCATGCCCCATGTTGGAGTGGCAAATGTAGTAGTACTTTTTTGTTGGGACCACTAACCCACAAATAATGACATTGAGACTGATTAATAATCATGAAAGCTCAGTTTTAGCTTAGGCTTGTTCCTAACTAGTTCTTTTTTTTTTTTTTTTTTTTGGTTTTTTGAAAAAGGGTTTCTTTGTGTTGCTTTGGACCCTTTCCTGGCACTCCCTCTGTAGACCAGGTTGGCCTCGAACTCACAGAGATCTGCCTGCCTCTACCTCCCGAGTGCTGGGATTAAATGTGTGTGCCACCAATGCCCGGCCCTAACTAGTTCTTATAACTTAAATTAACACATATTTTTAAATCTACATTCTTCTACATGGCTCATTATCTCATCTCCATACTGTCCATCCTGCTTCCTCCATATCTGGCTGGCTATTCCACCTTTCTTCTTCCCAGAGCTCTCTGTCTGCTCAGAAGTCCCACCTATACCTTCTGCCTAGCTATTGGCTGCTCAGCTTTTTATTATACCAATCACAGCAATACATCTTCACATAGTATACAAATATCACACAACAGAGCTCTACTCAAAAACAAACCAAGTTGGGTGGTGATGGCACATGCCTTTAATCTGAGCACTTGGGAAGCAGAAACAGGTAGATCTTTGTGAGTTTGAGGCCAGTCTGGTCTACAGACCAAGTTTCAGGACATCTAGGACTGCTACACAGGAAAACCCTGTCTTGAAAGACAAAACAAAAAAGCAGCTAAAGAAATAACAAGCCCAAGAATGCACCATGGTTGTAGAGCACTTCTAGAACTTGCCTGCCCTGGGCTCCACCCCCAGCATTGAAAAAGAAGAAAAAGAATAAAATTTTAAAAATGTGGTGGGGGGGGGCTGGAGAGATGGCTCAGAGGTTAAGAGCACTGACTGCTCTTCCAGAGGTCCTGAGTTCAATTCCCAGCACCCACATGGTGGTTCACAACCATCTGTAATGAGATCTGGTGTGCTCTTCTGGCCTGCAGGGATACATGAGGAGAAATGATGTATACATAATAAATAAATCTTAAAAAATGTGGGGGGGGGCTTCTTACCTCAACTGATCTGCCAGGTTCTTCTGGAATCAAGGCAGGACATCTCTGGGGTGATTTCTCATTCACTGGCATGTTTACCCAAGGCCTCAGCCCATACATCCAAAGCTGAAGAGTGTAGACGATTCTGCAACCTCTAGTAAGTTGAAAAGTTCAATGGGTCTACAGAGACAGAAGACAAGTTTTTTGAAACAGGGTTTCTCTGTGTAGCTTTGGACCCTATCCTGGCACTCACTCTGTAGACCAGGTTGGCCTCGAACTCACAGAGATCTGCCTGCCTCTACCTCCCGAGTGCTGGGATTAAATGTGTGTGCCACCAATGCCCGGCCCTAACTAGTTCTTATAACTTAAATTAACACATATTTTTAAATCTACATTCTTCTACATGGCTCATTATCTCATCTCCATACTGTCCATCCTGCTTCCTCCATATCTGGCTGGCTATTCCACCTTTCTTCTTCCCAGAGCTCTCTGTCTGCTCAGAAGTCCCACCTATACCTTCTGCCTAGCTATTGGCTGCTCAGCTTTTTATTATACCAATCACAGCAATACATCTTCACATAGTATACAAATATCACACAACAGAGCTCTACTCAAAAACAAACCAAGTTGGGTGGTGATGGCACATGCCTTTAATCTGAGCACTTGGGAAGCAGAAACAGGTAGATCTTTGTGAGTTTGAGGCCAGTCTGGTCTACAGACCAAGTTTCAGGACATCTAGGACTGCTACACAGGAAAACCCTGTCTTGAAAGACAAAACAAAAAAGCAGCTAAAGAAATAACAAGCCCAAGAATGCACCATGGTTGTAGAGCACTTCTAGAACTTGCCTGCCCTGGGCTCCACCCCCAGCATTGAAAAAGAAGAAAAAGAATAAAATTTTAAAAATGTGGTGGGGGGGGGCTGGAGAGATGGCTCAGAGGTTAAGAGCACTGACTGCTCTTCCAGAGGTCCTGAGTTCAATTCCCAGCACCCACATGGTGGTTCACAACCATCTGTAATGAGATCTGGTGTGCTCTTCTGGCCTGCAGGGATACATGAGGAGAAATGATGTATACATAATAAATAAATCTTAAAAAATGTGGGGGGGGGCTTCTTACCTCAACTGATCTGCCAGGTTCTTCTGGAATCAAGGCAGGACATCTCTGGGGTGATTTCTCATTCACTGGCATGTTTACCCAAGGCCTCAGCCCATACATCCAAAGCTGAAGAGTGTAGACGATTCTGCAACCTCTAGTAAGTTGAAAAGTTCAATGGGTCTACAGAGACAGAAGACAAGAAACCCTAAAACAACACCATCCATGTGTCTTAGTTAATGTTCTGTTGCAATAAAGACACGCCATGGTCAAGGCAACTTATAGAATAAAGCATTTAACTGGGGCTTGCTTACAGTTTCAGAGGGCTATTCCATGGTCATCATGTAGGGGAGCTTGGCAGCACGCTGGCATGGCACTTGAGCTCAAAGCTCACACTTATCCTAAAGCTGCCTGCAGAGCCAGAAGTTGGACCTTGTGTGGAAACCTGCCCTCAGTGACATACCTCCTACAAAAAGGCCACACCTATTCCAGCAAGGCCACACCTCAACTTGGGTCCAAACATTCAAATATATGAGCCTCTGGGGGCCATTATCATTCAAACCACCACACTATGTCATTTCAAACACTGACCTCACAAAGCTAAGCACCATCAACTGAGCTTTACTGTAGGTGAACTACAATATCCACACTCAACAAAATGATCTGAGCCCATTATTCTCCAGTGCATTCATGAGGAGCTTCACCCAGCCAGCTTGTCAGCTACAACTAGAAGCAGCTCGTGTGTCTTTTTAGACACTTTTACTCATATGAGGCCAGTATTTTTTCCTGAGATGGGGGCCCAAAAAGAAGAGAATACCACTCCAATTGAAGGGCCTAAACAAGGCAAACTACTCTTGATTAAGAGGGTGTGCTTCATATTCTTCATAAGAAAGGAAAGTCTTCATCTATTTATTTGGGAGCTGGGTAACAAGCCCCCAAAGAGCAAAGAGAAAAAAAACAAAAAACTGTATACTGTTCAAACTGGGCATGCAGGAAACAAAGGGAAGTGACTGCATAACTCTGCCAAGACAAGGTAGGACAGTCTTTCAAAATTCCTGCTTCATAGAAACTTCTGCCAGATATTCTAGGCCTGTAGGCCGAAGAGGAACTTTGGATAACTGTCCAGGCAGCCCACTGCTTCTGTCATTTCTATAGCTTTGGAAGTTGCTCACTCTGCACTTCCTGTTTACTCAGGTAATATATCTTTCTAGAGTCTTTGATGAAGTTGAAGACTAGATAGTTATAGTTTTCTTTGGATTCACCATGATAGGACAGATAATGGAGTATTTTCTCTGAATTTGCCAAATGCAAATGGATTGGATGTTATACACGTAATTCTTACTTGATAATTGTTCTTGGGGGGGTGAGACAGGGTTTCTCTGTGGCTTTTGGAGGCTGTCCTGGAACTAGCTCTAGTAGACTAGGCTGGTCTCAAACTCACAGAATCTGCCTGCCTCTGCCTCCCGAGTGCTGGGATTAAAGGCGTGTGCCACCACCACCAGGCTTGATAATCATTCTTATTGTATATAGCTTTACTATGTTAAAGTTAAAACCCTTCCTTTTTATTTAGACCAAAACAGGGAAATGTTGTAGAATCTTACTTTAATTGTGTAAAGGTGTGTTGTAGTTATTTATGTTGTGTAATATTACTTTAGTTATATAAAAGTGTGTTGTATTTGTTTTGTTGCAGAATATTACTTTAATTATGCTGCATTTGTTTAATTATGTAAAGATGTGTTGCTGTTTTACTTTGCCTGCCTAAGGCACCTGATTGGCCTAATAAAAAGCTGAACAACCAATAAGCTAGGCAGTAGAGGGATAGGTGGGGCTGGCAGCAGAGAGAATAAGTAGGAGAAGGGAGAGAAGGGAGAGAGAATGAGGGAGAAAGAAAGGGAGATGCCCAAGGCTAGCCAGCCAGTCAGGCACCTGCCAAACAGATAGACACAGAATAGGACATACAGAATGAAAGAAAGGTAAAAAGCCCCAAGACAAAACACAGATAAAGAGAAACAGGTCAAAGTTGTAAGAGCTAGCAAAAAACAAGCCAAGCATTCATAACTAATAGTAAGTTTCTGTGTCATGATTTGGGGGCTGGTGATGAAAAAATACCCAGTGGTTCATTGATATTTTTAACAGTTTTCCTTGAAATATCTCTTCAAAAACTACTGTCTACATGAGAAATCTTCACAATGTTGTTGTTGCTTGTGGGGAAATTCCTCTTATCCAGTCTTAAACCAGAATTCAGAATGAATGCTTCTTTTTAGCTTCCCAGGTTCCTTTAATTTTCCTGTCTTTCTAGCCTGCCTTAAGTCTACCCCTTAATTCCTGATCTGGGTTGTCAGGGAGAGTGGAACTGGGCCAGTGAATGAGGCACCTTCATGGGTAGGGAGGGGACAGACTTCTCTCTGATAGGTGATTGTACAATTGTACAGGCAGGAACCTCCTACACACATACTTTGTTATTTTTTTCATCCTAATTCTTTGACAGGAAGGATTTAACTTCTGTGTTAGTTGGGGTTCTATAAAGGAACAGAACTGATAGAATAAACATCATATAGGTGACTTATTATAGGCTTATAGGCTTATAGGCTGTGGCTTATAGGCTGTGGGCTGAGTAGTCCAACAATGGCTGTCTCCTGATGGAAAGGCCTAGGATCTTGTAGTTGTTCTTTTCTGTACATGGAACCTGGATGTCTCAGCAGTCCAAAGCCAGTGCTGGAATCCCAGGAAAGTCCTAGAGAACTGTTGATTTTCAGTCTAGCTTGGAATCCTGAAGACCTAGATACTAACACCAGCAAAGGAATGGCTCAAGAACAGGACAGATGAGCTGGGAGGCAGAGGCAGGCAGATCTCAATGAGTTTGAGGCCAGCCTGGTCTACAAAGAGAGTTTCAGGACAGGCTACAAAGCTACAGGGAAACCCTGTCTCGAAAACCAAAAAAGAAAAAGAAAAAAAGAATGGGATAGATGAAGCTGTCAGCAAGATAGAGTGCAAGCAGAAGCTTCCTAATCCAATGTCCTTTCATGTGGCTGTCACCAGGTGTGGCCCAGATTTAGGGTGGGTCTTCTGACTTCAAATTATCTGGATTTAAGGCGGGTCTCCTACCTCACAAATAATCCTACAAAGAAAAATTCCTCACAGGTGTGCCCAACTGCTTGGGTTTTAGTTAATTCCAGATGCAGTCAAGTTGACAACTAAAAATAGTCACCACAGCTTCTTTTCAAAAGAAGATGGTTGAATATTAATACAGTTGTTATTATATCAACAAATTAAGGGGAAACATACTGCTATTAACTTATACCAAATAAAGCATCTTATACAATTCAGCAACCATTATTAATAAAAGTTCAAACTAAGCTAGACATATGTGCCTGCCTTTAATCCCAAACTCAGGTGGCAGAGGCAGGCAGATAGATCTTTATGAATTTAAAGCCAGCCTGATCTACATAGTGAGTTCCAGAGCAGCCAGAGCTATACACAGTCAGACATTGTATTTTTTTAAAGGGGAGCAGTGCTGGAGAGATGGTTCAGAGGTTAAAAGCACTGGCTGCTCTTCCAGAGGTCCTGAATTCAATTCCTAGCAACAACATGGTGGCTCACAACCATCTGTAATGAGATCTGATGCCTATAAGAGCAAGGTAAACTGGAAAAAGCCACACTGAGAAATTCCCTGCATGGCACAAGGCTGATTCAGCTCCAGCCAAGGAACCATAAACAGCTCCAATGAGCACCCAAATTGTGCCCACCCCAGTCAAAGTGACCCCATCCGGGGGTCAGGCAATGACTAATTTTGGTAAATCACATCTTGTCATGACTGTCCTTGTGGGCAACTGTTAGCAACAATTTTGAAATTCCCCTAGCCCCCACGTCAATGAATCCAAAGGTCACCTACTCTTACCCAATCCAGAACAGCCAAGGCACGTACCACGCTGCTTGTGGTTTTTTCTTTTATAAACCCCTTATAATTGAGGCCAGGACCCTTTTCCTGCAGCTGCTGTGCCAGTTTGCTGGACAGGGTCCCTGCCGAGGCTTGTAACTTAACATTAAAACTTATGTGTTTGCATCAGTGAGTCGGCAACTTGG